ATGAAGTTATGAGAGAAAACAAAGATGAATGAGAAGTAGTGGATGAAGAAGGAGCTGAAAAAGAAAAATAAGAAGAAGAAAAATGCATAACATCTAATGAAAAAACTGAATTAAGAATAGAAGAGTCTGAGGTGAAAATAGATGTGGGCAAATAGCAAGAATGCAATATAAGGATTTTTCTAGTTTTAAATGAAGCTCAAATTTCAATAGTTTGCTTAGATGTTCAACAATAAAGTTTTTGACAAAAACATTCGCCTAAAGAGTAATGTAGCAATAAGGCAGATGAAAGAACAACAATTGGTAAAGTACTAAATGTCTTGTTTGCTACTATCAACCTGAGAAAAATATGGAAGAAGAAAAATCATCAATACCTCAAAGTAATGGGATTCCTACCAAACAAAAGGAAGAAGAATGATGTTGTATTTCTTGTGTCATATATCCTGCTCGAACAGAGAATCAAACGACCAAACTTAGTTCCTTAAAGAAGCGCTTAATGGAGTCAACCCATTAGTAAGTTTTTATTTTATTGAAATTTAAATTTCATGTTATTTTGATTCATAATGTTTTCTCTTGATTAGCATGTTATTAGCAGGAGAAATTTCGAAAATATTGGAAAAAGAAATGAAAAAGAATGATAAAATCCAAAAAAAACTTACAAATCCATTATATTAGAGTTTTATGCTAATGATGCATATCAAGACTTGAACAACATCTTGAATAATATCCAAAATATTTCAACTTCGATGACATGTGACTTTGAAGCACTATTCGTCATATTTATTTGTTTTTAACAATTTCCTATTTTATTTCATGGTCCAACTAAGAGTACTAGCTACTTATAAATACTCTTCACATGCTTTTATTTTATTTGCCTTAATGAATGAGTTGGCTACTGTTTGTTTCTTTCAAATTTATAATTTGCTTCTATACTAATAAGTAGATGAACAAAAAGAATCATCAGACAAAAGATGATCATCATAAAAGCTCCCTTGGAGATTGAAAGTTAAGGAAGAAAAAGACAATCACTCAATTTGTACTCAATTTTCAGATACTCAGCTAGTAAGATTTGAGCCAACTTATTTCATTGTTTACTTTTTCTTCTATTGAGTGTATCCATGCAATTGTGTTTTATATAATTTGTAAATTTTTTGAATTAGTTTATTGGTTGAATAAATACACATTGAGGCAAAAAAATTGTTATAAACTCAGAACCGTTTTAAACAAATCTGAGTTTAATGTTATATCATTTGCAAACCACTTTGAGCCTTATCCTTTCTTTCGCTGACATAGACGAATTAATTAGACCATGACATGAAAGATTAAATCTTTTCACCCTCTCTTTGGAGTTAGACAAAAAATTTAGTTTCCTTGTTCCAGAAAAATAATAAATTTAGGGTTGCTTTTGAAAGTGAGCAAAGTTTAAATTTGTGGGTAGGGTACTAGACAAACTGGTTAAAAATAAAAATTTTGTAAAAAAGAAAATAAATAAGTTAAATAACTTCTTTAAAAAAAGAGAAAAAAAAAGAATAAGAATGAAAAAGACCATCTCTAGTACCAATAGAACAAAGTAAAGAGTTTTATGAAGAGAAATTTGATAAAATAAGGAAAACAAGGTATCTACCTCCAAGAGTTTAAGCCTACTCTCCCAAATTATTCTCCTCTGACATAAGTCCCGTTACAACCCAAAAAGACTTCAAAAAGTGTGTGTTTAAATGATATTGATTTACTTCTTCGTAACTTTTCAAATTCAATACAAAATGCTTGTGTATGTTAATTGACAGATTACCTTACCATTACGACTAAAATCATAGTGTGTTGAAAGACATGTTGAATATTGTTGTATTGGAAGTATTTTTCTAAAATTTCTTGATTGAATATTTGCATGAAACCATAAGCAAGTTCACCAAAGGTAGAGAACATCTAGATATGTTTTTATCTAATCAGAGAGCTACATATAATAATGTCGGTTTTGATTATGAGCTTAAAACTAATGTTAAGATTTTCCATAATATCTGCAATGTGAATAACTCTTCTAAATTTGATGTGCTTACATGTAATTATTGTAATAAAAATGACCATCTTGCTTTATTATTATTTTTTTTGTTAGAAAAATTCATGAAAATAATAATGCATATTCTCCATATTATTTTTATAAAGAATATCGTAAAAGAAAAATGAGAAATGTGTCTCCTTTATCTTATTTAAGTAATCATAATTTTAGTTCAAAAATTAGAGAAAAAATGCACTTCAGTAATATCAAAGGACCCAAAAATAATTGGGTACAAAAAGTTTAAACTTAACTTTCTTTTACATAAATATTTTGCAGCTTCAAAAGCTAATGGTAAAATGTAAAAAGTTGTCCAAAGTATTCATCCAAAGATTTCTCAAAGATGTATTTTGTAAGCAAATGGAGGTCAAGAACTAAAGGGGAGGAGGTCTCAAAAGCAGCCTGAACCAAAATCTCATTTCGATCCAAAAGATTCCAAGGAGAAGTAAAATATTTGACTAGTTTTTATTTTAATAGTGGTTGTATATAAGAAACCAAAACTTGACCCCACATTTTATATTTTTTATTTAAGTTACCATTAATTTAATTATTTTAATTAAAATACATATAATTTTTTAAATAAAATTTACCTTAAAAACTTAAAAACAATATTAAATATATTTTATTATAAAGTTAAAAATGATACAAAATTCACAACAATAATACATAAAAAAAATTACATTTTTATAGAAATATAATTATAATAAGGATTCGATTGGTTGGGATCCATTTGATAAATAAATAAGATTGGAAATTGAAAGAAAAAAATTTAGAAGCAAAACTGTGTGTACAAAAATTAAAATTTCTATAGAATTTATAGAAGGTAAAAAATGATAATATGACCGTTACTATTTTCAAATATCATACCCTTATTTTAATGTTGTTGGAATATTTGAAATATTTTATTAATATTAAATAATATTATAATAGGTTTCACATGAATAGTTAACGTTAATTATATAGAGAATGAGAACTAAATTTTAGTTCATTTGGATGTCATGTCAGCTCTCCTATTATGCAAATTCTTTTTTACTAACGTAAGATATAAAGAATTTTGGTTTAACAACCTTGCGTTAAAGTTGCTCTTAGAGTTAATCGGTTAGGCCTTATTTAAAACTCAAATCCAATAGTATAAAATCGATTAGGCTAAAGATCTAATAGATTAGTAGTTCACAATTCAGATAAAATATCAATAAATTTAAGCAGCCATTGGGAATTATGTTAAATTTAATAAAAAAATTGATTATTTCATCTTCAAATTGATTACAAAGTGGATATAAGTAGGTATTCGCAGAGAGTTCTTAACTTTGTTTCTGCTTACAGAGTGGATAGGATACGTTCCATATGTTGTGTAGTTGAATGTCATTAAATGTTTATTACGATGACAATTGTTCAAATTCCATTTTAAAAATCTAATCAAAGTTAAATCGAAAGGAATTGAGGTTGTTAAGTTGTGAAAGATCACTTGATCATGTGTTTAGTGTTTTATCTTGTAGTCTAATCAGTTAAATATAAATGAAGTAAAAGTCTTATTGTAATAAGGTGATACACACATGCACTAAAAGCTTTTGAAAAATATCTATCTTTTTATTAAAACTTCTTAAAAGCAATCATGGCAATGACTTAATCTATCAAAAAGCTTTCTAGTTAATTAGAGAAGCAAAACTCAATTGTCTAAACCATTAAAACCTTCATCTAATTGATTGGAACAAGGGTAACGCTTACTAATCAATTAGATAACCTTATTAATTAATTAATCAATTGAGTGATATATCAGATTAGGGTTTCCTTTTCTGAATTAACATGTAGATGTTTTAATCAAATAGGAAGCATATAATCCCATGAATTGATGCCTTTCAGAGCCAAAAATTTTCCTTTATAAAGGAGTTATTTTCTCACTTTTCAATACACCAATTTTTTTTTGAATAATCATCTCTTCTAATTCTCATACTCTCCTTATTTTATAAGTTATATTCGCTAGTTATTGCATGAGTGATAAAGAGTGAAAAAAAATCATTTGAGATTTGTGGTGTTTTGGTTTTGTGTTGGATTTGTTTATTCCAGAGTTTAGTTATCTTGTGATCTTGTACTAGATTTTAAAGTTGCAAGCTAAACCTCTAAAAAGTTTAGTTTAAGGTTGTTGGGTTAAATTTGGGTAAAAGCTCTTTTTTAGTAGAAATGTCAAGAGAAAACTCTTCGAGATTGAAGTAAACCGCATGGTTTAAGGTTGAACTAGAATAATCTCTTGTGTAATTTTTCTTAATCTATCTCTTTATAATTCTATCATTTATCTTTTCTACTACTTATTCTCAACTTCTAATATAAATTATTTTAAATCAATTTTTATTGTTAAAAGTTGTTTGAAATCCAAATATTGCAATCCCTCTACTCTCTAAGGGGCATCTCTCAACAAAGCCATAAAAAGTTCATGGTTAATGAATTGAAAATCAATTCTACAAACATATTTAATCTTACTTGTTGAAATCTTAGTTCATTGGGTTGCACCACTTGCGATATCTTCGTACTATAGTTGATACATTTCAGCATCTTAAGAACTACAAAAATTAATGCATCATCGATAAATGATTAATGTCAGATATAAATATGATTAATCACAATTACAAAATTTATTTACCTCTCTATTACAAACATGAGGAACAACTTGTTAGGGATTAGGTTTAGGATCCTAACATGATGTGTTTTTTTTTTTGTACTTTTTACCTTTTTCCAATGAAATAAAAGTATAAAACTACAACTTCCACCAAAACACAAACAATGAATGTGATCAGAAGAAAAACATTAGAATCAAATGTTGGGCAATATCGAATTGAATATTATACATCATGTATAACTAGAATTTCTTTAGCAGCAGTAGTAGGGTGCAAATTAGTTGATCCTAATCAGAAAGAAAAAGCTATTTACATAAAATAAATTGTTAATCCAAATGAATTCTTCAGTCATCTGCGACGGTCAGATTGTACTTTCTTGCCAAAGTATGGGCTGCCCTGTCAGTCATAATGCTTTCTATCATCCTATACTTTTTGTAGTGCACTTTAAGAGTTTCAGCCTGCTGAGTTGCTAGCTTCTCTTCTTCTTTTGATAGAACCTAAAAAAAAGCATGCAAATAAACACACTTAGAATTACATAGCACAGAATCTCACATCAGACATCAAACAAACATATACTATTAATCAGTGTTGTTAAATAACAGATAATGGCGACACTATAGATTAGTGGAATTTTAACAAACCAGTAATGTTTAGGGATATATTATTTAATACAAAGTGTTGTCAGATAGCAAAATTTGAACGAACCATTATTTTCTGCAATCTAGATTGACACAATGCTTCAACCATCAATGCAGAGTGTTTGCACATAAGATTCTTAAGCTCCTTTTCCACCTCAAAGGAGACTAGATAATCTTCCGTATTAATTAAAATAAACATGTGTCTAAGCTACTAAGAATAAACTAGAAGCAATGGGTTTAGAATTCAAACATCAATGCTATCAACCATTAAAAATAGGGGAAATTGAGTTCTTCAGCCAGAAAAAAAAGGAAGCCTTTGGATTTCAATTTTGGTTTTTGCATCAATAACGTTGTTGTGTCTTTCTCTAAGACAACATTCATGTCTCCCCACAAACACATTTTAAACATGAGTGTTTCCTTCTAGTAATTTTCTCTCAAGGAGCAATGCCAGGGTAGGGATCATAAAAAGCAAATTGGCATTACATGACACAAGTAGTGATAAATCAAACAACCGTGTTCCAAACAGTTTCTTGAAAATAAAACAAATTCTATGGTATCAAAGTTAGGTTAGGCCCAACCAAATTCTATGGTATCAAAGTTTATCCTAGATTTGTTGTGTTGGGCTTTCCACATCATCCGCGCCTCAAGCTCATTTTGGCCCATGTGTGAGGGGGGTGTTGGAATTTCCTCCTTCAATGCAATCTTCCCCTAGCCACCTAATTGCGACATTTAGATTGCCTTCATTGTGTTAGGTGTGAGGAGGTGGATTTAACCCTCACATTGCAAAGATATATGGCCTATGTAGTGTTTATAAAGTTTGGGCAATCCTCATCTTACAAGTAGGTTGTGTAAGGTTGAGTTAGATTGAACCAAATTCTATGACAACTTGTCATAGAATTTGAAATTCATAGTTTCTGATATAATTAATATGAAAAAATAATTTTTTCCATCTAGACATCTTCCTGATTTGAAATTTTGTATCTGATGTTTTCTGTTATGTCAATTTCACCCAAACTTCCCTTGTAATCATAACTTCATAAGTATATAAGTGATAAAAGATTATATGGTATTGGCAAGAAATTCAGCATCTTGGTACATCACCACTTCCCCTGGCTGCTCCCACAACTTACTAGCAAGTTTCATACTTGCAATAAACAAGCTTAAGGTTACTACTAAGTACTAACTGCTCTTCAGATAAAGAAAACTGTAGTTGGAAATGCATATGTTCAGCATCTACTTCAAGAGACTTACTCGGCAAATTGAAGAAGTTATTTTGAATAGTGAGAGCAATAAGAGGTAAAAAAATTGATTACTATAAATGAACGTACTTTGTGCATGAGTGTTATTTCTGCAGAGTGTTTCCGAGTAAGATTCTTCAGCTCCTTTGCCACCTCAAAATCAGGGTCACTTTGTTCCAACCAGCAACACTTAATCTTTCTCTTAGGCTTTATTGGCCGGTCATCAAACATTTCCATTAGCGAAGGACGAGCTCTTATGGGCCGTGGCATCCCTGACATCATGAAAGGATACTGCTTAATCATAGCTATCACTTCCTTCACCTTCTTGGCAGACTCCAATTCTACCAATGCACATTGTGGCAGACTGTTCGTTCCTAGATAGTTGGGGATAAACTTGACACTTTTAACAAGTGCAAACTGGTCCAGAGCAGTTCTAATCACAGATTCAGTAACCTGCGGTGACAGGTTGTCTAAGTATACTGTCCTTTTAACTTTCTCTTCAAAGGCAGCATACTCTTCAGCTGATGATTCCATGTATCAAGTGAATGAAATCTAAAAAAGAAAAATCTCAACCTTAGGGTACAAACAAGTGAATGGAACTAAACATTAAGTGGTAAATATCCAACAAGAAATTAAACTTTATATCATAAAGGATGAGAATGATATGATGAATAAAATGATTGGGCAAGAGAATATATTATTAGAAATACAATTGTAAAGAAAAACTGAGAGAACCCTCGTAGTAGAGAAGATCATAGAATCTCATATTGGATGATTTGGAGTTTGGACATGAATTGAGAACACCTATAAAAGTACCAGTAAGGAGAATAGACCGGTAACGATACAAAAATGAAAAGAATAGATAAAACACATTAAGAGCTTAGAATCATTTCCTTTTTCTTTAAACCAAAAACAAGCCTTTAGCATGCTCAAAAACTTTAATATCTTCAACCAATAATTAGTCAAATTCATTAGCCATTTTATACAGTATAAAAACAGTATAATGTTTAAAATTCATAACTTCTGAGTTAATGTAGAAATAACTGAATCATACCAAATGCAGATCAATAACTTTAGCAATTGCAGCAGTATCAACCCCAATATCGAGATTCAAGCCAAATGAACTAACAACGAAGCTGAAGAAATTATACTATAACTAGGTCAAAACTCAATCAAAAATAACACAACTAGGCAAATCATTCATGGAAGATACCAAAATCAATTCTAAGAAGCCAAAAATCCTAAACTTCAAAAACCCTAGATTATTATTTTATGCATACGAAGAGTAGTAACAAAAGCCCTAATTTTCAAATACGCAATGCCATGGTGCGGAGATAGAATTTCAATCGCCGTTTTAGCGAGGTGCGGAGTGGCCGCAAATCGAGGTGGAATCGCTAGAGGGGAAGGAAAATACGAGAAATAAAAAAACCTGATGGGATTTCTTGGGTTTCGCGGCGGCGAATGACGAGCTCCGTCGGTTTATTTTTCCGGCAAGTTGAGTTCAGTTTGAATGAAACGTGTTTCTGATATACAAGGACAAAGATGCCTTTTGCATTTGTAGTTGTTAAGAATGAATGCATTTGTAAGAAAAAACAAAGCACAAAGTTGCTTGTAATTGTTGATAAAATGATTAGGTAAAATGCATTATCATAAAAAATAAAAAGGAAAAATGTATTATCTAAGAAGAAATAATAATAAATTAGTTAATTTATGATATAGTGAAAATGGTTTCAATCATTAAACCAACTTCTTTTATCATTTAATTATATAAAATTTGTTCTTTAAGTATTTTCTTATGAAATTGTTTAAATTATAAAACATAGATCATTATCTTTTTTTTAAGAGAGACTCGTAATCTATTTAAGTGTAAGTGTTTGTGGGTTTAAGGATGTTTCGTGTTGTTTGAATAAGTTTTGAGACAAATGTATTCGATTCAAAAATAAATTTACTAAAGTGATATTCTATGATAACGTGAGAAATGAATATGAACCCTTTGTTAGGATTTGTCTTAGCAAACCAAACGAATATTGCTGAAGAAGATCTCAAAGAACGTAGTAACAAGAAAGTCAAATGGAAAGATGCAAATATCGATTTGAGGAAGAATGATTTGGTTTCCAACCAAGGAGCTGCAACTACATCATATAAGGAGATAGTCCTTAGAGAGTCCTTAAGGGCAAGGGAAGAAAGGCAAAGAAAAGTAACACAAGTGGAAAACCTAAAGGAACTCGGAGAGATGAAGATAGAAGAACGCAAAATTAGGGAATATGAATGCCCATAATTTATTCTATTGGAGAAAGAAGAGAAAGGGATTTTTTAAAGGGCCTTGGATGAAAGGAGTAATTGTTAAGATGATGGGGAAACGTATAGGTTACAACGCGTTAGAGAACTGGTTGAACCAAATGTGGGCAGGGAATGAAATTCTGAATATTGTTGACCTTGGTCAAGAATATTATATGGTTTCTTTCACCACTGAGGAAGATCAATATGCGGCGTTAATCGAGGGCATGTAGCTTATTTATGATTATTACTTGTGTGTAAGGGAATGGATGCCAAATGTCAATCCAGCAAGTGGTGCCATTGAGCAAGTCGTGATTTTAGTGCAAATCTCAAGTTTACCTATAGAATATTACGATTCTAGAGTCTTATCCTTCATTGGTAACAGAATCGGAGCTACTGTCAAAGTGGATAGTGTTGGAATAAAATTGTTTATATCTCTTGGATTTTAATGATAACAAAGTACTTAGAGAACAATTGGGTATACTAACATATGTTCAAGTGTGCAGGATCATAAGTTTATATTCAACTCTGAATAGACCCTGTTAAAAGCATCTGTGGATAAGCAAAGTAACATAGATTCTAAAAGATCAGAATCTGATCGTGCTCATCAGCCTTTGAAGGATCAGACTCTGATCGTGGTATTCCTGCCTCTGGTAAACAACTCAGACTCTAAAGGTTAAAGGTGCCTCTGATCCGTATTTTTTACAAAAAGCACACCAGTCTTGTCAAAATGCCAAATTTTTGGAAATAGTCAACTAGGGTTTCGTTTTGTAAGGCCCAACGAATGGTGGTGTGATATCTTCAATTTGTTCTACCTTTTGGTAGATACCAAGTACTTAAAAAGATATTATGGATATTGCTTTTATTCATTGGACAATGTTTCTAACCATATACATCCTTTAACATCTCTTTTGGCATGCTTTTTCACGAAGAAAGCTCTTATGCTCATCCCTTCTAACGACTCTTTCTCTGCCTCTATAAAAGGAAGTTGAAGATTTGAAAGAAGGATACAACACTACATCAAAACAGCTTGACCATAACTTTGAGCTATTATTTATAACTCTTATTGCATAAGGTCGTAAGATTTCTTGTATTTGTATATCTTAGAAATCTTAAGAGTTAAGAACCTTTGTGGTTATTGTAAAACTACTATACTTCTAATTATGTATCAAAGTATAACTGTTATCTTTTCTACTAAATTGTCTGTTTAAAGTAGAGGAAGTCTCTTGCAAGGTTGCTTGAGCAGTGAAGTCTCTTGCCTCTATGCTTGATCAGTGAAGTCTCTTTCTAGTGTGATTGAGCAGAAGTCTCTTGCGAGGTTGCTTGAGCGGGAGTCTCTTTCTGGATTGATTAAGTAGTGAAGTCCCTTGCTAGTTTGCTTGAGTAAAGTGTAATCAGATTGATTATAGTGAAAAGCTCTTGTTAAGACAAGGGGACTGGACTACTCTCAATTGAGGAGAGGAACCAGGATAAACTTTGTGTGTTGTTTTGCTCACTACTTCTAATTCATATTCTTTTCGCTGCTATTACGAAATATGATATCATTGTCGCAACTGCGAAAACACCCGGCGGAAAAACAAAAGAGTCGTCACCGTTCGTTATTTATCCCAAAGAGAGGGAAAAGAAACGATCAAAGAAAACCTACAAAAAAGGGAAAAGACAAGGTCATCGCAACCAAATCTTGGGTTCGGGAGTCGGTTACGCAAGGGGAAGATATTAGCACCCCTCACGTCTGTTGTACTCAACGGGATCCACGCTTATTGTCTAATCAAAGAGTGTGTTTATCTATCTAAGCTACAGGCTCACAGGACAAAAGAAAAGAAAAGATACTCGATAGAGCATCACCGCTCTATGCCTACGTACTCCCTCGTGCAATGGGAAAGTCAGAGTCAACGTAGTTCAAAAAACTACAGGTGAAGGTGGGGAAGGTTGCTCGCCAAGACATCGTCGTCTTGTGCCTACTGTCACAACTGTGAAAAACAATCGGCGGAAAAAATAGAAGAGTCACCACTTTCATTATTTATCCCAAAGAGAGGGAAAGGAAACGATTGGAGAAACCTGACGAAAAAGGGAAAGACAAGGTCATCGCAACCATGTCTGGATTCGAGAGTCGATTACACAAGGGGAAGGTATTAGCACCCCTCACGTCCGTCGTACTCGGCGGGATCCACGCATTGTTGTCTATCTAAAAGGGTGTGTTGAAAATATCTAGCTAAAGGCTCAGGGACAAAGGAAAAGAAAAAAGACTGACTCGGCAGAGCATCGCCTCTCTATGCCTACGTACTCCCTCGTGCAATGGGAAAGTCAGAGTCAACGTAGTTCGACTAACTATGGCTAAAGAAAGGGGGAAGGTTGCTCGTCAAGACATCGCATCTTATGCCTACGTACTTTCATCTAGTATGAAAGATCAGAGCAAATGTAGTTCGGGCTAAAAGGGAACACAGATTTGTTCAAAAGTTTTTAGGCCCGAGTAGGGTTAACAAATAGTTCTAGCAGATGGTGTATGCAGCTCGACCATTGGAGACTTAGGCGTTACCGTTTGTGGTAGAACTAAGAGTTAACGACACTCTTTTATCTGAAAAGATTTTCCTGATTAAGATCCCAAAGGATGAAAAAAATTTGAAGTGTTTTTGTGTTTTTTAAAGAAGAAGTGTTTTTAACTTGATTTGTAACTCATGTCGCACTAGAGACTATGACCTAAGAGCGAATGCGTCGTATATCACCCAAAGGGTGTACACTAAACACTTTAGGTCCTTGAGAGGAGGCCCCTCAATTACCATTTCTCAAGTAGCTTAAGGCTCGTAGCATGCTACACTTGTCATTCTTTATTAAGTGTTTTATGAATGTTTGAAGATGAGAAGAGAAGAAGGAACACTAATGGGATACTAATCAATCCTAAAAGTTATGATGCAAAGTGGACCTAAAGTTGGAATACAAAAGGGATCTACCTAATGTTATCATGCATATTTAGAATCTTAATGTCTATCATAACCTCAAGAGGCTATAAAACTTATGGGGAGCATGGCAAAGAAAAGCAAAAGAAGAAGAAGAAGAAGAAGAAGAAGAAGAATGCATATGCAAATGAAGATGCAAACATAAGATGCACAACTAGAATGAAAGTGGGAGGAAAATAGTGGGGGACAGTAGCCTCCACAAGCTCATCTCAACCAAGCATGCATATGGAAATGCAAGAAAAGAAAAGAAGAAGAAGAGCTCAAGAAGAAATCAATCAAACAAGAGCAAACCACACAAAGATGCACCAAAAGTGGGATGAAATGACCTAAGTCAAACAACATCAACCACACCAACAAAACTAAACCAAAAGAAAGGTAAAACAAAACCCAAAGTCAAGTGAGTATGGGAGACCAAATGAGGTCAGCAAGGACCTCATAATAGGTACTCAACCATAAGCATCACTCATCAAAAGCAAAGAAGCACCAAAAGTGTCCTCAAGGATTCATCATTCTATGTATGCTTCAAATACCTCCAAAGGAGGGACAAAACCACCTTAAATGAGACTCCAATGTCATTGGACAGAAGGGAGATGAAGAGAAGAGAGCTCAAAAGAAATAGAAAAGCATACCAAAAGGAAATGCAAACCAAAACATAAGAGGATGCAATCATACTACACATTGAAACCCTAATTGAAAGCTCAAAACAAAACAAACCAATGAACAAGGAAGAAACAATATCATGACCTAAAATTGAACAAACATCATCCTTAACATGTTAAAAATATGAAACAAAAGGCATTGAGGGTTCAAAGGATCCAATAATGTCATATCCAAGTCAAACTAGGTCAAGGTACATATGTGAACCTCCTTTAGAGGTAACTTGACTTGCAAGTTACCTCAAAAATAGGAAAATGGTTCAAAAATAATCAAATAAAAAGCACAAAGTACTTAAACATGTTGACAAACAGAGGCCAAAAGCTCAAAGAAAATATCCCCTCATAGCACCATCAAAAGAAAATAATATTCAAGATGTACCACTTTGAAATGGGAGAATCGAGGGTCAAAAGAAAAGCACCAAAAGTCAACCCTAAATTCAACCAACCAGGGGCAAAATGGTCCTCAAAAATTGTTTAACTCATCATGGATATGAGGATCAATTTTCATTCATTGGACCCAAAGGAAATGCAAGAAACAATTAAAAGAACAAACCATGCCACATTTTAATCCATTTAAAACAATTCCAATGTTTAATCCTTTTTTAAATTGAAAATAAAATCAAAAAAATAAAATAAAAATATCATAAAAATAAAGGACATCCCAAAGTTCATAGTAAATATTTTTGTGTGATTTTAGGGACATTGGAACTATTTTTAATGATTTAAATTGAAAACATAAATAAAACAAAATAAAAAAAAAGAAATAAAAAAGGAATAATAAAGACCAGGGGTGCATACAGCAAGCAAATCAGTTCAGAACGCGCATGGCCCCAGGAAAGGGGGTGTGAGTAGCAAGCGTGGCCCAAGTCCAATTCACAATTAAATGGAAAATCTGATGATTACGTGCGCCAGGTCAAATGAAGACCACCATAGGTCTTAATCCAGCGTGTTGATTCAATTAGTATACAGATCCTACGCACTACACACAACCATGTCATTAAAATAGTCAAACCCTAACTGAAACTAAGTCTCACGCGTTAGATCTACATACTAAGTCAAGGAAGTCCAGATATCCAACGATGAATGATTCATCTCTTTCGTTTAAACCTGCAAAATGGAGGGAACGCTTGTTGTGCTGGCCGGAGAAGACTCTGGTCGTCTTCTCCGGCAAGAGCTACAATAGCTCATCACGAAAACTTCACCAAATCTCAAATTTCTGATATCAATCAAATCATTACATCATCTACATCAAGAATCCAAGACCCAAACACACTTTCACTCACTATTCAAGCCTACTCGAAGCCAAACAGAAAACGTGCAACATCCACAAATCTCACAAACAGCCACAATTCTTATCCTAAATCTATCTAGGCATCATCAGAAACCTAAAC